GAAAAAAAAAATCAATCCACAAATCAAAGTGTGAATCCCACAGGATTCGAATGCATTCCTTATTGATTAACAGAAGATCAAATGGTTTCTTGTTTTCTCACGACCATTACAACCCAGCTCATATAACACATATACTCAAAATCAAGAAACCCACGAGAAATCAGGTGTAATCTCAACCTTGAACAGAAATTTTCAAACCCATATAAAAAAACCATCACAGAAACCCAAATCTAAAACCACAACCCAGATGGAGAAAAGAGATAAAAAAATAACCATCGACAACGATACCCATACCTGATTGTCGGGTCCACTCTTCAGCCGGCGATGGTGGATCTGCCCTTCAACTTGCAAGGCTGGCTCTTCCTCTTCCTTCGTTTCCCCTTCTGCGTGCGTGCTTGACTTCGGTCTTTTGCGGGTCATTTGAGTGAAAGCGGGTTACAACTTTTAAAACAATCACAGCCGCACAATCTCATTAAAAGACATCCAACGGCTGAGCCCCCCATCCCTCAAATAACACTATTTGAGGGATCCCTCAACTGAAGGGGACTGATATATATTTATTTATATTTACAGATATAATAAACTACACGGAAAGCTTTGAATTAATAAACTATATATGGTATATGAATTGGATTATATTTTATTTTTATTAATATATATACATATTATTATAAATTTATTATTTTTTTAAATGCTATGTCCTATTTTAGTTTTTTGAGATTTGTCATTTTTCATGTTCTAGATTGGTCTAGGGGTGTACAAGATTCAATTCAATCCATCTAAATTAATCGATTCAATCTAATCCAATCCAATCCAATTAAATTTCAATCAGTTTTGATGATTTGGTGGACTGAATTCGATCCGTAATTTTCAAAAACTTTCAATCAGTAATTTTAAAAAACGACATGATTGAATTAGATAATTGATTTACTTATGAGAATCCAATCTAATCCAATCTAATTAATTTTAAGCTTATTTTGCTCTTATAGATAATTACAATTGAAAAAATTATAAATATTTTAAGTCATTTAATAAAGTAATATTTAATATATTATATAATCAAAACAATTTGTTATGATATTTCATTTATATTTTACATTTACGTCTATTAATATTTTATTATTGTCCTTTTCCATCATCCAATCTATTCTAATCCAATATTAATTCAATTGAATCGAATTGCATTTAAACATCTAATATGCATTTAAACATCTAATATGATTGTATCGAATATTAATTCGATCGAATCGAATTGCATTTAAACATCTAATATGATTGTATCAGATAATACGAATGGAATACGAATGGAATACGAATGGACTAAATTGTATTGGTTTCCAATACACGTTTGGTCAAAATAAAATATGAAAGGGAATAGGGAAAAAGAGAAGTCCAACATTATCATATATGTATAATTGAACACAAAACACAACTCCTTTAGCAAAAATACAAAAGAAGATGCACATAAATTATATAAAATAAGTCCATCCATAATCTTTACTCACCGCACTAGCAAGATTTATTGAACAAAGTCCACACAAAACCATAAAAAAAGAAGACGCATCCAATGAAGGAAAGATAACAACTCATGGAAGAAAACATTGTGGGATTCAAGCATCTCCATGTCCAACCAGTTCCACAAGAAACTTCTCATAGTCTCCAGAAGTGTCTTTGACAATTGCCTGGTCCAAAGGAACACTGTTCCTGCGATGATATTCTTGTTTAATGCGATGCAAGTCAAACTCCGCCCGGGTGGTGACAACCCTAGTAAGAGCCCCTTCGTCCGTCCCGAGCTTGTTGATAGCCAGGCGCAGAACCTTCTCAAAGTATTTTTCAGGGACGGTCAAGCTTTTGATTGTTTGCCTCAGTAACAGGAGGAACTCATCATCTTTATCAGCCTTCAAATCCTTGTTAATGGCATTGCCAAACTCATTGTTGTAGTGATTAAAGGTTGCATTCAGCTGTGCTTTACTCCTGGTAGAGAGGATCCTGATGAGCTCCTCATCATTGTAGGCTTTGTCTGAGATTTTCTCATGAAGTATCTTAGCCTCTTTCTTTGCCAAGGGCACGCTGATCTCATCTCCCTCATATCGGTAGGTGCTCAAAAGAGGAACCAAAAGCTGTGACAGAGTCAACAATCAGAGCAAAAGGAAGAAAAATGAAATTCTAGGCAGCAATGTAGTTGAAGCTGTTTGAACAAATTACTTCCAATTCAATACAAGAAATTGGATACATTAGAAGATCAAGACGATATGGTTTCAACTAGCCAACTTGACATTTGAGAGCACAATCAGATTAAGAATGAGTTTGGAGATTGAAGGTTTGTACCTTGCGCAAGTCTCCAGATGTATGGTATGCCACATCTTCTTCAAGGGATTTCTTGAAACGCGCATGATACGCCTGCTTGACCAGCAACAGGTCATGGGAAGACCTAGTAGTAGCTATTTCCAAGAGCACTTTGTTGCTTGAAGTGAACCTCTTTGTAGCTTCATTAGCCAAAAATGCATCACGCTCAGCAGGGACCAGTGTCCACAGCAGCACAGCCCTCTGGTTAATGCAGCAAAATAGGAAATTCAAGCAGTAAACCTTTGAAAACAAAATTAAAAGTAAAACCTGTATTCAACTGAGAGATATAATGCATCCAAATCTGACCTCAAATTCACTTGAGAGCTCTTTGTCCAGTGACTTAAGAAGCTCTTCTCCATAAGTTTCTGCATATGCCTGCTGAATTAATTTTCTCTGAGCTGCATTCCTGTGTGTCAATATCGAAATGATCAACCCCTCATTTGTCCCCCATCCTGCACACAGATTACGAAAATCAAGTTGATGATTTAGAATGCAACCATAAAAGTGCCTTGATAATGCAACAAATCTTCAACCTCTATCCCTAATTAATATGTGCAGCTAGATGCCAAATATTCAAATTGGTCTATGACATCAAGCATCAGTTTTCTTCATCATCTTCTCTTCTCCCAACTCTGTTTTCATTGATGATCCCTTTCAAGTAAATGAGTTTTATGCAAATCCCATATAAAAGAAAGCATGAACTAGTCAAGATTAAAACAAAAACAAAAATATTGGTTAAAGAATTTTAAAAAAGATGTAGATCTAGTACTCTGATCCGACAAAAATGATCCCAAGAAATTTAAAATCAAAGAGAGAGAAACAAATACTTACAAAGAACCCAGAAAACAGATACTTACAAAGTAAGAAAACATGAAAGCAGATCAAACTTTAGATGATCAACCATATCAGATTATAAGAAAGACATCAAATACTTGCTAGTCAATAGTGAACCTCAAACTGGCTCAACAAGCCAATCATTAAAAAGATCTAGATCTAAAGATTGATTCAACAAAACTGATGCTAACTTACTGATTGAAAGAAAATATCATATAGAAAGAAACACATCCTGATCATTATCACATTTACATAAGAACCCACAAAACACGTATTTACAAAGTAGAACAATATGGATGCAGATGGATCAAACCAACTTTAGTCTTCAGATGATCAACCACATCAGAAAACAAAGTCATGTGAAACACCAAATGATCAAATTTCATTTGCTCCAAAGAAAACACCAAAAAGATGTGATCAGTAAAATTAATTTAGTCTGAGTCTAAGAAGATGTGATCAGTAAAAGACCTTCAAAAGCTTTGCGGAGTTGTTCAGCATCTTCCACTGCAGAAGGAACCACATCTGGTACTCTGAGAGTCGCCATTCTCTCTCTCTATCTCTCTCTCTCTGTTTCTTAATTTTGTGTATGTAAGAAGAGTAAGAGGGCAATGATAAGAGAGTGCGGAGCTTGGTCCTTATATAGAATTAAGAATTCAATTGACATGAAGTCTCCATTTTATTACCAGCGTATACGTTGAAACGGTGGTTTCTTTTACCGCTTAAGTGAATAAGAGTATTTATTTGTGCCAGGTTTAATTAGTCAATATCGATTGTATAAAAATAAATAGAAAAATGAAAGTGAGGCCCAAAATTTTTTGTCTTTTAATTATTAAGGCGATGATGATGTTTCGTAGTGGCAGTGACAGGGATAATGTACACTATTTAGTCCACATGCAGTACATGTACACAACTTACAATGTCCTACCTCAGTTCATGTTGTCACTATCCCAGGAGCTACACGTACCTTTTTTTCTAAATTTTGAGGCAATCTTCCTGTCCTGGCGCAGTGCAATGTGGCAAAATTTATGGTTGAGCTGTAAAAGTAGGAATGGACAGGTTTGTTTATTAAATTATTTTGATGACCTATTGAGTGTTTTAGGTTTTTTTTTTTTAATGAGATTTTAGAGTTAAATTTATTTTAAGAAATTATTGGCAGTTTTGTAATTTAAAAAAAGTTAAAAGTCTTTTTGTTATGTTTTAAATGGACTTTGAATATGTTTTTAAAGTTTATTTCATATAAAGTTTTTATTTTTTATTTTTATTTTATAATTTGAACTCTTATATTAGGCATAATATTAGTGAATTTCCCTAAATAAATTTCATCAGTTTAAATGATTAGTCAGATTGAATTGGATCTTTAAATTCAAAATCGACATCATTTGATGTCGTGACAAATTTATTCAATCCAATCTAACAAGTTTCAATTTTTTTTTCTCCTTCATATTAAATAAATTATGAATATTTAAATTTTTTTGATGGAATTATATTTATATAGTATAGAACTAAAACAATTGTTTTGGCCAACAGGTTATAGCCCGATGGAAAATGACATTGATTTGAAGAGAAGTGATCTTCTGTTCAAACCCTCATGGTACATTGATAGTGTGTATGTGTAAAAAACCATTTTTTTCTTCATAATTTAGCCTATTATTTGTATTAAAAAAATATTTTTTTAACTTTTAATATTCTTTTACATTTGCATAGTTAAATGGTAACTCAATGGTAAACTATTGTTTAGCCTTTTGGCCTGACAATATACATCTAATTCTCTCTCGTCTTTTTCACATAACACAACTACGCTAATTACACAAACAGAAAAAAGAAACACAATTATGCACCGTATATCCAGCCATGTCCCTTTTGTGGGCTCCACGTTTTCTTTTTCCTACTGCCGCGTAGCAGTAGCTGTCTACCACGTGTGGCCAGAAGAGGATGCTTCACTCAACGAAACGCCGCGTTTGTAAGCAAAAAAACAAAGAGAAAAGGTAAAATTGAACAAACCAAGAACGACTTCACTGGGGATCGAACCCAGAATCTCTGGTTCCGTAGACCAGCGCCTTATCCATTGGGCCATGAAGTCCTAGTTGTTGTTGAAAAGTCCCAACATCTATACATATCTAAAAATAATGTTTTTTTAAAATATATTCAGAACCATCACTTCTTCACCTCTATCGACTCACCGAGTTTGCCGAGTTAGGGGGCTCACCAAATGCTAAAACCTTGTTTTTGCAAAAAGATTATAGTTCAAATGGTTAAAATTATTTAGCCTGCACCTCAGATCCTAATTTCATATAGTTTTGGAAATTTTTTTAATTTTTTTTGGTAACTGCTAAAACTTGGTGCTAACAAACTGCTAGGTGACACCTGACCTGTGAGCCCAACAAAGTTCGAAAAGAAAATAGCTTTGACCTCACTCTTTCTTCTATCTTTTATTAATCCAAAAACCCTCTCTCTTTCATAGAAAGCTTCCTTTCTTTTTTTGGCTGAGACTTCGACGAACTGGCCGGAGAAGAAAGAGAACGTTTGATTTGGTTTTATAAAAGCCAAAATAACAAAAACAATAAAGTGGGAATATTTAGTTAGAATCAATCAATCGAGTCCAGAGAAAATGAGCTGAAGGGTTGGGTTGGGACGACTGATGAGTGGTGGGAAATTGGGATTTGATCTTGATTGGTGATACATAAGAGTGCAAATTTGGAAATGGGTAGGCCACGGTCTTTTCGGAGCAAGGCAGTCCACTTTGTATCTGATCTCACCACTGTCTTGCTCAATCCCATTTCTGACAAACCCTCCAAAACCTCTCCTCCTCCTCCTCCTCCTCCTCCTCCTCATGCTGTAAGTTTTTTCTATCTATTTATTCTTTATTCTTTTTGGTTCTATCTTGAAATGCTTTCTGGGTTATTTTGTTTATTGGTTTTTGTTTTATGATGTAATTGGTCTGGTGTTTCTTTAAGTTCTGGTAATTAGTATTCTGTTCATTGGGTGCAAACCCAATTCATGCTGTATGTCTGTCTTGAGCTTAGTATATGGGTTTTCCTGGATTTTTTATGTTCTGGAGCTATATGTAAGATTCAGGGAGTTCTACTCTTGGAGTTTTTTTTTTTTTGTGGGAACATTTTATTTTTATTTTTTCCAATTTTGCTTTGATTGAATTTTGCACTTAGAACTGAAATTCATTACTAATGATTATAACTTTTAGATACATGAAAATTTTAGTTCAGTTTATAATTAGGATCACTGATTGGCTTTTGTGTTCCTATATTTGTCATTCAGTTTGGAATAATATGGAGGCATTTTATTTTTTATTGGAAAACATCAGGTTGTGAGTTTGCATAACTAATATAGACGAATATATTTTTTGTTCACATCTATTGAACTAGATCATGTTAGATTTAGACTTTACAAGAAGTTCTCCGAGCCCTGACTATGTAATTCTCGTTTCCACAGGAAGATGAGGATGAGTCCAAAGGAAGTCAAAATGAATCAAGTAGTGAAGAGAGTCCCGTTAATGTAGTTGATGGGCCTGACACTTCTTCCTTTAGTGCATTCCTCTACTCTCTATTGTCATCAGAGTCTGAAGATACTAATACAAATGCAGATGAGAAAATTGATAATCAAATGGATAGGAGTAACCCATCATCTGATTCTGCAATCAAAGGAAATGGTGGAAAGAGAAGTTTACTTTCTAAGGGGAAACAGTCACTTAGTAAAGTTATCTATCAAGCTGTGAGATTTGGTGGATATCGGAGTCAAGAGCGCAAGGGTAACCCTGACATGAAAGTTGATGATAGGAATGACTTGGAATTTACTGGAGTTGAGATGAGGCATGTGCAGAAAGCCGAAAAGCCTATGGCTTTGGTTGATCTCCCAGACATCTCTGAACCTTCTTTACTTCTTACAGAAATAACTAGAACTGCTCTTTATGCTTCAATGCCAGCGCTTGTTCAAGGACGGAAATGGTTGTTACTGTATAGGTGCAGACACATGAATGTTCATTTGCACAATTACAATTAGATCTTTTGAAAGTTCTAATTAATCTTTACTGCACGATTATTTTACCATCCAATGTATTCCTTGTGTCTGGCAGTACATGGAGGCATGGCATATCATTGTCAAGCCTATACAGAAGAAGTATGCTTTGGCCTGGCCCAAGTTTGCTGGTAATTGTTAACCAGACTATTAGCACCAATTATTTCAACAAATGGTCAGATAAACCTTTTAGACCAACTTATTTATTTTATAATTGTATATGATATAAATCATCTAATAAGCAAGAGAATGTGACACAAAGCAAACAATTAGTAACTAAAATCCTTGAGCTCCGTTGTTTTGAAAAGTATATCAAAGAATTTCCTTGATTTTTTTGTTTGTTTTTGCATTGTGTCATTAACTCATTATCAAATTCTTAGACTTGTTATGCTTTAGTTCATACAGAAGCGTATAATCCAAAATAATTTTTTTTACTTATTTTAAATATTTGTTCAGGTTGTTGGAGACCGTAAAGGTGCAGTTTTTGGTGGCTTGGTGGAGGCACCTCTACTGGCTTTTCAGTTCATCTACAATTATTTCCTTCTATGTATGTTGTATTCATGCCAACTTTTTAAACAGGGAACAAATGATACATTTGTTTTCACAACTACACCTGGAAATCCTGTTATATATCGCCCTACAGGTACTAGTTTATCCTATTTGCTTCCAGTTTCTGAACTTATGTAGGTGGCATGCTTGGTCTTTTTCATGCCTTAAAAAATGGTTTTGATATTTATAAAAGATAGGGAAAAAAACTTACATACTTTTTTCTTGCAGTAAATATTCTTGGAGGGAGTAATTGAAAAATGTCATCTGGTTAAATGTATTAAAAATGTGTATTTCCCACCTCCATGTTGTTTGGAAATTAGGGTAAAATTTATTGTTAGTACTTCAGCTTTGATTAGAGTAAAGGAGGTGTTCCTGTGAAGTGGTAGTAGAGCATTTTGAACGAATGCAATCTTCATGAAACATCTATTAGGTTAAGATTTGCATTACATTGTAATAAATGTACTATAAAATTTTCATTTGATTGCTTTCATTCTTTTGATGTAGCAGTTGTGTTGTGTGATTGCTTTCTTTAACTATGGTATTCTTAGTTTTATGCGTCATATCTGGTCCAGATCCTAATGGCCAATAATGATCCTGACACTTTGGTTCTAAAAGCAGCTGCACATAACCCATTGTACAGAACATGCTAAAGGCTAAGTTTCCAACTATACCATTTCAAATTCCACATGATGCTTGTCTTCTTTCTGTTGGAAGAGACTTGAATATGCATTTGAATTATGCATATGGTTGCCATCTTAAGAGAGGGAAACCTGTGTAAATATTATGTTTTCTTGACTTTTTTAAAAATACCTGGAAGATACTTAACTAAATATGCTGGAATTAAGCAGGTGCAAATCGTTATTTCACATTGTGCTCCACTGACTTTTTAGCAGTTGGTGGTGGTGGTCATTTTGCACTCTATTTGGACAGTGATCTGTGAGAATTTTGCCTCTTAATTTTTTTTTTAAATATATTTTTTCCTTAGATATTTTATATTCAGCGAGCCCTCTGTTAAAAGAGGGAAATTTGTATGCATTTGTAACTTTGTTCAATTTTGTTTTATGGTCTATAAGATTGAGTGGATCAAGTTCATTCTCGGAAACCTATGGGAATCCTTGTCTTGCACACTCAGAAGACTTTGAGGTGAAAGAAGTTGAGGTGTGCTCTCTCTATCTCTCTCTCTCTCTCTCTCGTATGCACATCTACACACACATATATGCCCATGCACATGGCCCCTCGGGTACACGATTTTCACAAGGACTTCTCACTGTTTCCAAATGAAAAGAGATGAAATGTGACGAATATTTTTTTGCAATGCAGCTGTGGGGCTTTGTATATGCTACTAAGTATGAGGAAGTACTTGCTCTAAGCCGTACGGAGGCACCTGGGATTTGCCGATGGTGAATGCTTTATTTAGACCTCATTTTACTATGGTGGTTAGCATCATCACCTTAGCTGAGGCTAAATGTTGTAGCTGGAGCCGGATGCCAACCTAGTTAACAACTGATGACTAGTCTTTTGTATATGTGAACCAATTTCCCTATTACGTTTGTATAGACAGGTCCCTCCATGTACATAAACAACACCTAAGCATTGTACAACCTTTTTGATTAGATAGTGATTGTAAATACCAAATACTGTACTGGTTGGTAATAAATCTGTACAAGAAGATGCACTCTTGGATCATGTTTGCTTATTATTCGCACCAATTAGCATTCTAGACTGCCGACGATTAGCTTCTTTCCCATCATGCCAGCCGCCATTAGACTGGAGAATCAATGTGACTTTGGACATAAAAGTTTAAGTGAGAAATAGAAAGTGTTTCTAATGCCAAGAGTCTTGGGATTGATTCTCATGCCACGGATATTCTCCCCTATTGTTTTTTTTTCTGTTTCACTTTTTGTTGGTTAAGGATTTCCTACTACTTCAAGGATGTTTCCTCTTAGTTTTCAATGAACTTTCTACTCCTTTTTTTAATTTCCTACTTCCCTAATTGTTTGTAAGTTATAACTTTTTTTAATGTAAAAAAAAAAAACTAACGAGGACCCTCCGAAAACCCCTGCTATAGATGTAGATCCAAAAACATAAACACTAACAGTAATACTGGAATACACATCTGAAATACGAAAGCCAAAATATATGATCTTATAGAATTAGACTTAAAAGATATAACTATTTAACAAGAAAATTGAACTAATCCGCATGTATGAAAAGAGACCGCACCAGTTAACTAGTTAATCTGTAATCTACAAAAGAAGCCTGAGAAAGGACAGGAATGACACTGATGGGAAATGAACTACATACCAACACCACCCAAGAAAAGTAAAAATTAACAATGCCCTATAGCTAAAGATGTTAAGTAGAACAAAGTCCGGTCGTGTGTTCAAGTGCGGCGTAACAAACTCGATAGAGTTCGATTCAAACAACTGCAGAAGCTTTCTCTCCAACCCCTTGTAATTTTTTAGGAGAGCCACTCAGCGAACTTTTATTCTTTGCATCCACTGCTTCTTCATATGCAGCTGAATGAATACCAAGTGCAGCACGGCCAGATGGATCGAGATTTTTCGACCATGCTGCATCCCATTCCACCGCTTTTGCTGTACTACATGCCACACTTGGGCCACCTGGAACTGTTGATCTAGCAGCATTCTGTTCAGAAATGGCAAATTGATCATACTCACGTAAATAAACAATGTTCCATTTTTAATCAAGTTAGATTTATAAAACATGAGAGCAAAGAAAGTGGCATGCCCATCATGGTTTCATCAGATACTATTAGCCTTCTTAGTACTAGAAAAGAGCATGTAGAGAAATCGTTCGCCTACTCCATAATAAATAAAGAAACGCAAGAATGCTAAAATGATAACGTGAGTGAATATATTTCTTTCATATAGCTAGGTTCCCTTCCTTCGCTTCTTGTAGAACTTGTATCTTACCTTTGGAAAGAACTTCTCAAATATAGTCCTATAGCAGTATGCTTCTTTTGTGGTAGGCGTATTTTCAGGGTAAATGAAGCTAGCATGCGTCAGCATGGCATCTGTTACCTGTTCAGATACAAGCAAACAAAGATAATTAATTATATGCAGATAAAAGTATCTCTAATGTTTGATGCCATGGGTTGTTGAACAAAGTACAGTTAGAACTCTAAACTGAATTATTGCAACATGAAATAAGCCAGAAATAAATTAATTTTCTCTTGCAACAGATTTGACATGTTATGTTGTCAAACTGTCAATTTGGAACGCGCATTCAGATAGGAGCTGCCTAATCAATAGTCCAAATTGACAGTATGGTAACATAACATGCCACACTCTCTAGCAAGAGAACATTTCCCTCCAAAATCATTACTCTGAGTTAAGGTGATGCATACTTGTTTGTTTGCATGATCTTTCAAGCCATCAATCCAGCTGTAACCAACACCATCACTAAACTGTTCCTTCTGCCTGTACAATATGTGCTATAACCCAAAAAATACAAGGTAAAATTAAAGTTAGGTATATATTGCACAAATAGGGCATGGAACTCCACACTGCAGACTGTGAGAGGCCACTCGACTGACAACACATAGCCAAGCACCAGGCCTCTCGCTATCTGCACTGGAACAATTCCAAATTGTGTATGCAAGTTGAATACATGACACCTTACTGAAACTCTTCCAAGAAAAAAAGTAACAAAATATGCAAAACGATAACCATGTAAGGCATTAAAGCAAGAAAGTTACAAACCTTCGGCAAATATGGCTTCTGAACATCATCAAATGCATTGCGTAAGACCCACTTCTCAATTCTCCCAAGATCAGGCCTGATCTGCAGTTACAAATGCAAGTGCTTAGATGTAGGAACTCAATAAAAACTTTTAGTTTGATATGATAAATTGGCAAAAGCTAAAATAACAATCAACACAATCCAATAATTTCATAGCAGTAACTCTGTGATCTTATAATCCAAAACACTGGCCAGAGATCATCCAAAATCTGTATTACATACACTGAAACAAATAACGAACATCAAGATGCTTGTCTCACCTAAGAATGAAAATAAAATGGGTGCATAAATGACAGAACACCCATAATACAAATGCGAAGGTCATGGCGCT